GCATCCATCGCAGAGCGGTTCGAATCGTCGGCAACTGAGTTCTTTCTGATCGGCTCGATTCACTGGCGCTGCGTTCAACATCCCTGCATCCCTTTGCATTTTCTATCGCATCTACCACGGGGAGTACTCCGGGAATTGTTTGGATTAATTCTAGCCGCCAAATTTCACCAACGCATATCGCTTCAAAATTCACGCTACAATTCCCACCATCTAGATGCTTGGCGGTCCACCACTGTGCGTTTTACCAGGAGTTTTCTGCCACGTACAATTTATCTGTAGAATTGTTTACCACCGGTGATTTTTCCGGATCGATACAACTTTGAGACTTTCAAGAAAAGAGCTTGCTCCTTTCTAAAAGGCCGGCAACGTATCTGCAATTCCCCTGGTGTTACGGTTGTTCGTGAACGGCGGTAGTCACTTACCATCAGGTGAGCCGCATGCTCGTTTGCCCCCTCTTCAATAAAGAAAAAAATAATCAAAGGCATTCCATCTATGTCCTCATAAGTGATAACGCATATGTAGCCTTCTTTTGACTGCTGCAGTAGCCATTAGGTAGAAAACCTGCAAAATATTTACTTATACATTTGTTTATAAAGTACATACAAAGAGCTTACACCTTTCTAAAAGGCCGGCAACGCACCTGCAATTCCCCTGGAGTTGCGGTTATTCATGGTCGGCGGCAGTCACTTACTATCAGGTGATCCGCATGCTCGTTTGCCCCGTCTTCTATAAGAAAACTTAAAATTGCAATTCTACAATTTCTTTGTTACCTGCGGGACTTCAATTGTCCAATATAAAATTTACATTTAAGCACTTAGTATAAAATTAAGCGTGTTTTAGGTTGCTTCCCTGAATTTAGTTATAAAAAGAGTTATCATATTTTTTATATATAAAAAAGTTTACACAAAATGGATTTTGCTCCTGTACTTGTCGTTGAGATAATCGTTCAAGAACAATCTAAAAACGACACAATAATTCATAGGCTATTCAAGTTTATACTTTAATAATATTTACCTGCATAAAATAGCAGTATAAACTTGAATAGCCTACAAATTATTGTTATACTACAAATTGTTATTATATTTCAATTATTAATATATTCACACATTTTTAAATAATACCTATACGAATTAAATAACAAAGTAAATAAAAAAGTATAACGAAAAAATTAAATAAATAAAATCGCTCGATGCTCGTCGTCTATACTATCCGCTCGTATTAAGATTATAGCTTTGAGACGTCTTGATTTATTTGACATGCAGGTTGTACAACATTATTGCTCGAATTGTTTTACACGTAGTCATCTTTATTGAGAAAGGTCCCTAAGCTATGTAGGCGAGAGAATCGAAGTTGGAGGCTACGTAACCTAATCATGCGGGCGGTGAGAGACAGAGCATTGCGCAACTTGACTCACCAACTTTAAATCTAGTTCACTACAAGCGAATGTGAGATTTAATTCATTTGAATCAGAATTATAGCAAAAATTTTAAACAACTTATTGGTTTTTCGGACTGTATATTATATGACTCTGTACACAACTAACGTTCTGGTGTCAATTTAATCGTATTTGTATGGAAACTGATGATAACGTTCATTCAGCCGATTTTTGGAACTTTCTATAGGCTTTAGATTTTTACGTGCAAATATAGAGGGTCCAACTTAACACTTTCACGATAGAATTTGAAGTAATATAGGACACTGTCGGAAACAAAGCAATAATCACCGGAGATGGTGGAGCAGGACGATACCTACTACATGCTTCATAGTAGTGAACAAGTGCTTGTGGTCTGTTCCGTTTTACTAGAGTTATTAGCTTTTTTTAATTTCTTTACTTATGGATCTATTACTTTTAATTTTCGATAAATAATATACGAAACAATAGGAGGATAGAAAGGAGGATAACTGCATAGTTTCTTTGCCGTTCCTCCTCCGTTTTCAGGCAAACGAACCCTACTTTGAGACGGTAATATTAAAATAAATATTTCGAAATTTTAGAAAAGATATTTTAACTTCTTTCGGTACTTCGAAAAATAAAAAGTATTGACGGTTCGGTTAAAACGTATTGATTATATACTCTTCGGATTCGGTGTCGCGATCAGGTAGTTTCGTGTACAGTTTAGGAACAAATAATTAGATACGCAGTAATGAAAAGTTAACAGTCGGCAACGATAAGTTAGAATAGAATAGAATAGAATAATTCTTTATTCAATATAGAAAACATGTGTAATTCTTATTGAAAGTTATTTTTTACTTTACCACTGGTTCGAAACAAAATCTCTGTCCTGGGAAGAACCAGCAAGAAACCCAGCGGGACTCTTTTTTTAAAAGCATATTTTACATTACTGATTGTTAGATACAAAATTTATTTTAGAAACAGCTTGGAAGCGACCACCTTATTCCCAGGGGTTATTATCAACCATTTATACTATAATAACCCTTTTTATACAGTTTCAACTTAACAAAACATTTAAACTTGGTAATAGAGAGAGCCTGTACACTTTACAGGACCCTGTTGTAAATATACTGAGAGGCTAAAGTTAATATATTTATTTCTTTAAATTTATCTCCAAGAGACTCTCTCGGTTTTAGGTTGTAAATAGCTCTAATGGCCCTCTTCTGTAAAACAAAAATAGTTTCAGAATCAGCCTCATTTCCCCATAGCATAATCCCATAAGACATTATGCTATGAAAATAACTGAAATAAACTAATCAAGCTGTCTCGACACTAGTGAGACCTCTAATCTTGTTTACAGCATAGGCTGCAGAACTTAGTCTGCTTCTAAATGTGGATTCTTAACGTTAAACCAATGCACTAATTTTGATATAGCATTATTCACTTCGTCACATTTAAATGATTGATGTTTAAGTTTAAAAATCAAGGAAGTATCATCAGCAAATAATAAATACTATATCATGATTATCCCTTACAAGAGAAGGTAAGTCATTAATATACACTAGAAATAGGAAAGGGCCAAGAATGGAGCCCTGAGGGACACCCATTAGTACAGGTGACCTGGAAGAACTTTAACCATTGACAATAACTTTCAGCATTCTATTACTTAAATATGAAATAATGAGTTTAAGCGCTGTGTCCTTGACACCATAGTACTGTAGCTTCCTGATTAATGTCTCGTGGTGAACGCAGTCGAAGGCCTTGGAAAGGTCACAAAATATACCCAAAGCATCCTCTGAATTCTCCCATGCACAAAAATATGTTTAATAAGCTCAACTCCAGCGTCCGTTGTCGAGCGACCCCTTGTAAAACAATTTATTAATATTAAAGAAACTTAACATCTGATCCAAAATATTATTTTTTCAAAAATTTTACTAAACGTTGGTAGTACAGAAATTAGTCTAAAATTGGCGGGGTCTAATGTACTACCAGATTTAAATATAGGTATGACTTTACTATGTTTCATTAAATCAGGAAACACACCAGATTCGACGCTTATATTAAATATAGTGGCTAGATAAGGTGCTAATATATCTATTATAGATAAAATAACTTTAACGTAAATCCCCCATAAGTCTGCAGTTTTTTAACATCCAATAGTTTTAAAATATTTAACGATATCTTTTGGCAGTACTCTATGGAATTTAAAAGTATTTGAACAAGCCTTTACATTTTGTTTGAGCAATGATTCGGCGACAGTAGGAGAAGAATTTAATGATTTTGTTGTCAAAAAAGGAACATCAGTAAAATGTTTCTCAAAAGCCATAGCAACTTCTTGATCAGATCGCGTTAAATTATTGTTATTATTCAATTGAAAATCCGAGTTGCGCGGTCTGACCTTGGCCGTTTCACTATTTATTATTCTCCAGGTCATTTTAATTTTGTCTGATGCAGTTTTAATTTTGTTGCTTAAATATAAAGCCTTAGCAGTGGAGCACGCTTTTTTAAATAGTTACGTGGTAGAGCCATGCTGCAGCTATATTACTGGTATAGTTGTAGCACGAATGGATCGGCTCGACCGGGGAAGGACCACGCTTTCTCGGAATACCTGCGTAAAATAGCAGCTTAACGCTGCTGTGTTTCGTATGGTTAGTGTAGAGAACCGGAGACCCGTTTTACTGGAATAACGCATTCCATCTTAGTCCTCACGGATGACAACGCATCTGCATTTTTATTCGTAATCGAGGATAGATGTAGATGTCTATGGACCACAGCATCAGGTGGACTGTGTGCTCGTTTGTTACCCTTATCCTATAAAAAAAGTTGTTGTGGTAATAAAAACCCTTATAATAAATATAAACCCGAAAATCTTATAATAAATATATTTTATTACTAGCTGTTCTCCGCGACTTTGCCCGCGTTCAATTTAGGGTTTTAATTTTTTTGCACGTAACCCTAATTCTTTTTCTAAAATAAAAGTATTCTAAGTTACTCCTTATAACATCAGCTATATAGCTAGTGAAAGTCCCGTTAAAATAGGTCCAGCCATTTCGGAGATTAGTCGGAACAAACAGACAGACAGAGAGACAGACAGACAAAAATTTAAAAAAATTATGTTTTTGTTATATGTACCGTATACTCTTTCATATGTATTAAGTGAAAAGCTGTTATTTTGATATTTCAAACAGACACTTCAATTTTATTTATTTGTATAGATTGAATATTCATTTTCTATTCTTTCTTCTTAATCAGACGTCTGGCACTGGTACTAGTTGGTATTTTAATGTCATCCACACCGAATTATGTCATGGGGCCAGTCTGAACGGAGACCAGCCATCTGCGCGGGGCAGGATTATAGTGACCGAAAATATGCGCAAGCACAGGAGCACTCTCTATTCCGTCTCTCTCATAATCGTAGACACGAAGAGATCAGGTGCAGGAACACTTTACGTGCTTCTCTACGGCACAGAGGTGAAACACCGCAAACTTCCTGACTCCGGGTTGCTAATGAGAATTTTTTGACAGGAAAACTAAATTACTAATTATTTAATATTGGAATATTATGATGTGCTTTAAAAATTTCTAAGGCAATGTCGTTTGTTGATAGATGATATGGATAGTGGGCGGTGGGGACGGCTACAGCTGCCCGTACGGTCACCAGTGCGGTTTTGAACCCGCGCCGCCTGGTCGAGCGCCCCCCTGTGCACAACCGGGCCTCACCTACTGCCTTCAACCAGAACCTTACCCAGAGTGAGTATAAAACGCCATGTTGTTAAGTGTATACGATAAATAGTTTCCAATAAAAAATCAAAACAAAAATACATCGGAAAAAAATGAAATATATCATAAAAATGTATTTGTTATTAAAGAAAACTGTACAAGAGTTAAAAAGAAGCATTTCTTGCGCGAATGTTATAGGGATAGTACAATTAATTTACGGTACGTGGCGCACGTATCGTACCAATATTTGAAAGTTATATATCATTCGATTTCAATGAATGTATAATCAGTCCTAATTAAACAATATAAACTTCCAAATTTAAAACGATATTTCCACTATTATTTCTTCTGCGACAGCAACGCGCCGGGTTCCAGCTAGTAAATTATAAGAAAGAAGTAAATAATAATGATAATAGTGATCATTTTAATATACGATGTACATATATATATCATACACAAATATATATTTGTGTGTGTATAACACTAACACTCATCAATAGCTTCTATTTAGCAGACATTATATTTGCATAATTTTACGCTCGTTTTTCTCACATGACAAACATTAAACTCTGAACAGAGTCCGATTGCGATACGCGATACGAAGTAAATATTTTTGTGTCAATAGACATAAACTTGAATGACAAATAAACTCTGTCGATCGCCAGCGTACCTTTAAATATAAATAATTAACTGAACTTGTAAAGCATTAATTACAAGTGGTAAATTTAAAATTTTGTACAAACGACTTCAATATGAATATAATTTATTGTTGATTTTATCAAAAACCGCCGTACCGATTTCGATAAAATTTAAATGGGACCACTTGAGAAGTATACCCTTTGTAACAAAAAAAGAATTTTCCAAATCGGTTTAGGTGTCTTTGAGTAATTGCTGAACATACATAAAAAAGATTCTGACGAATTGAGAACCTCCTGCTTTTTTGAAGTCGTTTGAAAATTATAATTTAATGGTTGCAAAAACAGCAACAGTATTTATATAGCAAGTCATACAAGTGTGTCCACTGATATACAGCGGATGAGTGGTAGGTATCATCATTACAGCTCTTCACAAGTTCACTGCTGAACATTACAGGGAACAGGGGTAGCCCCCAAAGAATGTCATACATTTGAGCCAACTGCATCTCTTAAGGTCTTCACATCATTTAGTGAGGAGCCATAAGGAATGAAATATTAGTATTCTACCGCAAATAAAGAAGGACGTTTTTGCACGTGGTAGAGCCATGCTGCAGCTATATTAATAGTATATTTGTAAAACGAATGGGCCGGGGAAGGACCACGCTCTCACAGAATACCAGCGTAAAATAGCAGCTTAACACTGCTGTGTTTCGTTTGGTGAGTGTTGAAAACCGGAGACCCTTTTTACTGGAAAAGAGGCATTCCATCTTAGTCCTCATGGGTAACAACGCATCTGCATTTTGATTCTTTATTTAGGATAGATGTAGATATCTATGGGTCACAGGAACCACTTACCATCAGTTGGACTGTGTGCTCGTTTGTTACCCTATCCTATAAAAAAAGGACCTTGAGCATCTACTATCATCCTCCCTTATAGTAGCCATGCATATACAGATTGGCGACTGCTGTACCAAATGTCTAGCACCTTTGACGCTGTTCCTCGTGGCCGTTCGGGATGTTTTACTCTGGTAAATTATACGATTTCTAGCGATCCGCCTCGTCTTCGCACGGGTGATTTCTGGATCTCAACAGCAGCGTCACCTACCAGGTCAAATTGAAACCATCCAGGGACACTTAAATACACAAAAAAATCATAAAAATCGGTTTAGCCGTGTAGGAGGAGTTCAGGCACAAACACACGTACAGAGAATGATATATATATATATATATATATATATATATACAAGATCGGTTATTAGACAACCGGAGACCCTTTTTACTGGAAAAGAGGCATTCCATCTTAGTCCTCACGGGTGACAACGCATCTGCATTTTGATTCTTTATTGAGGATAGATGTGGATGTCTATGGGTCACAGCAACCACTTACCATCAGGTCGACTGTGTGCTCGTTTGTTACCCTTATCCTATAAAAAAAGTTGTTGTCTCAACTCTGTTTAGTGGTATCGTTCTAGATCAACCGCAATACCTGAGGCCCTAGGGCCGTGACGATGGCTAATAATATATATATGATATGCGGTAGTGGATATTCTTACACGATAAGACGGCTCCGTGGCACAGTGGCTTTACAATTAGTTGCTGCGTTTGGGGCCGCGGGTTCGGATCCCGCTCGGAACAAGTATTTTTACAAGTGATTGTTCCTGGTCTAGATGTTTTGTCTTTGTGCAATTTATGTTTGTAAACTGCCTCCACGATACAGGAGAAAATCCTCGTGTGGGGGTAACGTTTTTTAAAAAAGAAAGAAAGAAGAAGAAAGATATATACGTGATGGTAATACCGTTTTTATATATCAAGGTGTAACATTTTTATGGGTTTGCGGAATTGCCCACGGCTGCCTCTTACTGGGTGTCCCATATGAGATAATGCGAAATTATTAATTTTATTTTAATTATATTCATCGGTGCAAACGACTATAAATATTTTTTATTAGCATAAAATATGTACTGATTTCAGGCATATTATCCAGAAGTTGATAGAGGCCGGGCAGTACGACATTCGGACGTTACTGTCGGACGAAAGCCGAGATGAATTCGAGTCGAAGAAGAAAGGCGCGTATCCGTACGGGTATGGACCGAATTCGCTGCCGCACGTTGACCAAATTTCACTGGTGAATGATGCGCATTACCCAAAAGACGCCAACAAGTATCACGGTCGATATAACCATGGTATGTATAACGAGATTTCTGTACAGAAGAATGCTCTCGGCACTTGTTTCTACCATAATCTTCGGGCTCGTGTCCTAGATATGATTCAAAATCTCTGATGTGTCATCTTCATCATGATCGTTATAGTTGTCTTTTATTGTTTAATTGAATACGTATCACACATGCAATATAATTTACTTTTTAATATAATATATACTTTGTATATTTATATTTCTTATATCTACTATATTATGTCTACATAAGAACGTATGTTAGGTCTCAGGAATGTGTTTGAATATTTATTTTCAGTGTGCTTTTTTTTGTAACCGCCTTTGACGTTATAATCACTGGCCTAAGGCTGTAACTGGCAGAGAATGCTCTTAGCATTAAGTCTGCTTTTTGTTCTTTTACATTGAGTAAGGCTCCGTCATCATTATCACTACAGCCCTTCACAAGTCCACTGCTGAACATAGGCCTCCCCCAAGGAACTCCAGAAAACACGGTCCCGAGCCACCTGCATCCATTGACTTCCTGCATGTCTTACCAGGTTGTCATTCCATCTAATGGGGGGCGCCCTACATTTCCCCTGTAGGTATGTGGCTGTCACTGGAGAACTTTTCTTCCCCATCGGTTGTCGGTTCTTCGAGCTATATGGCCGCCCCTTTCCCACATCAACTTATTAATCCGTTGGGCTATGTCGGTTGCTCTGGTTCTACTGCGGATATCCTCATTTTTATGTTTATCACGCAGAGAAAGAGAGAAAGAGAGTTTTGAGGTATGCCTGACGAGAATATATCACTTTTACGATTTTCGAAAGCGTGTTCGTTTGGGGCCTCGCAAGAAGCCCCATTTAAGTGCGACTGCGAGGCTGTTGTAACAATCCTTCAAAGACCGCGACCGTTAGATAGACGGAATACGAGACTTGTCAGGAATTAATAGCTATGAGTGTAGCTATATCGTGTCAAAGCATGTTTGGTCGGAGAGATCTATTGGGTAGATCTTGGGAACGAAAGAAAAGGGGCCTTGCTGATGCGACTTTGCCCGCGTCATATTAGTCCACGCTACGCCTCTGGCAACTGCCCATCTTCTGCCTCAGTTTCCCTCTGTCACCTCTTACGACACCCACAGGAAGATATGGGGTGGTGGGAATTCTTACCTGGCACTACACTGGACCAGGAAGGGTAGGGACGGATAGAGAGTAAGGCTTAATAAAAAATTAATAATTGTATTTCGATCACGCGAACAACTTCCGAGATATCAAAAGACATCGATTGCGCTAGGACACTTTAGTTGTCGTATGTGGTCGACATGCGAGATATCACACATCATCTTTCCATATCGTCTTGTATCGTAAGAGATGGCTATGGGAAGTTCCAGAAGGTCCATCCATCCATCCATTACGGCCTATAAAAGTCCACTGCTGAACATAGGCCTCGCTCATAGATTGCCTCATATTCAGGATTCTGTCATAGTCGCCATGATTGGCAGGCTGGTTGATAACGGCAGTTTCTTTATCATTTTCAGTAGCTATCAGGAAGATGATGCTGTCCATCACCTGTTTCAGTTTTTGTAAGAAGTGACAGAAGAAGTGGCAAATGAAACAGGATATGAGAGAGAACATAAAGTCCGACACGATTCTCGATGGAACGTGCGGCTGTGACATAATATATATCCGATGAAACATGTCACGGGCACCAAAAAATCCGTATCGGATATATGTAAAATACAAAATGTTCTGCCACTAAATACTGACCTTTATGTTGAATCCGACATCGGACAAATGAGAACTGATGTGTTTGTAAGATATTGTGTAAGATAAAGTGTATATAGAATCGGAGACGCTTTTTACTGGAAATCTATATTAAGGTGGCTACTGACCTGCCTGCCGCAGGGGCAATCTAGGGTGTAGGAGTGGGGATGACCCTTAAATGCCTCCTTAATTTTGATGTGTGTAGGCAAGCAGGGGCAATTTTTTAAGTCGGCCCTGCACCCTTCGATATTGCTCCGATCGCTGTGCTCCCTAGATTGCCCCTGCGGCAGGCAGGTCAGTAACCGCCTTTAGGCTGTAATGGATGATAACGCATCTGCAATTTGATTCTTAATTGAAAATAGATGTAGATATCTACGGGCCACAGCAGCCACTTACCATCAGGTGAAATGTGTGCTCGTTTTTCACCGTTGTTCTATAAAAAAAACCCTGCATCCGTCAACTTCCTGCATAGTTACCAAGTGGTAACTCCTAGTGGCAGGGCCACCCTTCACTTCTCTACCGATGCGAAGCTGTATTATGAATACATGATCACCATCTGTAATTTTCTACATTTTATTTTCAGACGTTCTCATTGAAAAAACGCCACTCCAACCTCCGTCACCAGTCGATCCGTCCTCCTACAACATTGGCGCGTACCAAGCTGCCAACTTCTCAAAATTCGGTTTCAACGGCTACTGGAGTCCAACAAATCAGTACGAATATGACAGGAAAGGCTTGACACAACACCGTGTAGCCCCGAACCTAGATGGATATAACCATGGATTTTTCAACGGACCTAATCTATACCAGGGTTACGACTCGAATTGGTATAACCAGCCCACGAATCACGGTGTGACGCAGTATAATCCAAATGAATGGTGGAAGTGAGTTGCTGTGTTATTATTTTTCCAGCGTGAATATTAGTTCTTGTGTACTTCTATGAGTTTTAAAAATTGTTAAGTTACTATATGTCCGCCACAATATCTTTTAGATACTAGGACATGTGGACTAGTGCAAAGTCCCTAACCTACCAAGGATTCTCTTTATTATCAACTGGATGCACGACTCCGTTCGCATAGAATATTTTTTAGTAATTTATTATTATAATACTTTCCTTTTTGAATCGGATTTTGTTCACAATTTCATGGGTTTACTTTTTGTTTTGGCGGAACCCAATTTCTTTTTCTTATATAATAGCGTACTAAATTACTCCTTATAACATCAGCTATCAGTCACTGAACGTCCCGTCAAAATCGGTCCAGCTGTTTCTGAGATTTGCCGGAAATAACAAACAGATAGACAAACATTTATTTGATTGTATTTTTGTTATAAGTACCGTATATACTTTCATATGCTAGTAAAAAGCTGTAATTTTGACATTACAGACACTTAAATTTGATTTATTTGTAGAGATAAGTCAATGTTACAGCCTATGCGTCCTCTAGCTCGGCAAACGCCTCTCATTGCCTAGAGGGCTATGGAGCAATTGGTCCATCGCGCTGCTTCATTATGTATTAGCAGACTTCACATGTCACATGTTTTTACGTCGTAGAGCCATGCTGCAGCTATATTGTGGTTGCAGCATGAATGGGTCGGCTTGTTTGTAGTAGAACCATGCTCACACAGAATACCAGCGTAAACAGCAGCTTAATGCTGCTGTGTTTCGCATGGTGAGTGTAGAGAACCGGAGACCGTTTTTGCTGGAAACGAGGCATTCCATCTTAGTCCTCAGGGTGACAACGCATCCGCATTTTGATTCTTAATTAAGGATAATTGTAGATATCTATGGGCCACAGCAACTACTTATCATCAGGTGGACTGTGTGCTCGTTTGCCACCCTTATTCTATAAAAAAAAATGTCTTTGAAACATTTTATTCCTCAAACATGCAAGGCTCTTCGCGATGTTTTCCTTCACCGAGCACGTGGTAAATTAACACTTAAAAGTGCACTTAACTATGTCATTGGTGCCGGCGGGGTTCGAACCCAGGTTGTTGGCGTACTGTGAAATTTACGGCTAGCTCTAAACCCTGTAATACCACGATTCTCGTGGTTATTTGCTTTGGTTCAATATAAAATTTATTAAGGGTTTCCTTTTTTCATTTTAATTTCTATTTAAGTTTTTTGGTCGGGCCGTGAGATCGAATCTGGCGTTGAACATGTATTTGTATGCATTATCTACAATTAATTATTGTTCCGCCTCCGCGATACAGTCGAAAATCGTAATGTTACATTTTTAAAAAGAAAAAATAGTACTCAATGAAATATAAATAAAAAATTGAAGTGTCTATCTGTAATATTGAAATAATTGCCTTATATTGTGCTGAGGGGGTTGTTTGTATACAATTAGCACATAAATAACCTTTTAAAAAATACTGGTCTGTCTGTCCGGGCTTATATTTGAAATGGCTGAACCGATTGTATTTATTAACTTTTCGAACATATAAAGACCGATACCGATGAAAAACTTAGAGATTTTTTTTTGAAAAAGAAAGAAAATTTTATGATTGAAAAGATAATGAAGGCCTTTGATTATCTTAATATAAATAAAGCAACCCAGGCGAAGCCAGGGCGAGTCGCTAGTAACTAAATAATGTTTAAATTCGAAGGTATATAACACCCACACGATCCGACGACGTGACGATCGAGCGATCCGTAACGTTCCCGACACGCACGACTACGATCCGCAGGCCGGCGCGACGGCGACGCAACGCCGACCTCGTGAAAGCTGCGGAACAGAAAACTCTGACAGGCGCGGAGGCATTGAGGATAGCTTTGGGATTAGCCAAGTAAAAATATTTATGCAGTCTCCTTTTTTCGTATTATTATTATTTATTAATTTTAACTACTTCTCAGTCCGCTAAAAAGACACAATCGAAATGTTCATATGATGTGACTAACTTAACAGTGTAATGATTAACTTTACGTGGTAGAACAACGCTGCAACAATATTATGGTTGTAGCACGAATAGGTTGGCTCGACCACGAAAGAACTAACAACTTAGTGATGCATTTTCGTATGGTCAGTGTAGAGAACCGGCAACCATTTTTACTGACAATGATGCATTGCATCTTAGTCCTCAGGAGCGACAAAGCATCTGCATTTTCGTTCTTTATTGAGTATAGATATAGATATCTATGGGCTACAGTGTTCACTTACCATCGGGATTGTGTGCTCGTAAGTCACCCTTATTCTATAAAAAAGTTATCACCTTTATATCTTTCTCTTTGTTATATATTTTTATGTTTCCATTAGGAAGTTATTGTAGTAGGTCCAATTTTCCAAGTCGAAATTTTGACATATATTCACGTTTCAAGGTCTCTACGAGTACTATGTCTATAGAGTCGGAGAAAGAGAGAGAAAGAGATTTATTCGAATATGTAATGTAATTTTTAGTCGTTTTTACTGATTTCTTATATTTACGCGAACACTACACATTTTTAAATAAAACTAATTTTACGGATTTTATCGCGTATATTAACTTATTTTTATATATTCCCGACGTTTCGGGTGCTTTCCAGCACCCGTGGTCACGGGGGACTGAGTTGTTTGACGTCCTGCTGTCATAGTTAGCCCGGCTACCTTCAGTTTTTTAATATTAATTTTTGGTTCGATTTACGCAGAATGAGCTTACAGTATCTTGAAGTCTAGCAGTGGTATACTTGGGTTTGGATTTGATTTTATTAATTATGGGATCCCAAGCAGATGGCAGCACCCATCCATCTTCTCTATTGAAATTAGGATGTTTTTTAATTTCAATAGCCTCGCGAATCATCCTTGGGAGGAATCGGTGTTCTTTTGCGAGGATTTGTGGTCTATCAAATCTAATGTAATGGCGGGGACGATCTTGAACATGTTCACAAACTGCAGACTTCCCGATACGTCGGTGCTTCACGTCAGCTATATGTTCTTTAACGCGGGTTTTAATAGATCTTTTTGTTTGTCCTATGTACGAGAGACCACATTCACAATCCAGCTTGTACACTCCTGCATCTTGTAGAGGGATTTGACACTTGACGGATGGTAAAAATTGACTAATCTTCTTCAGCGGCTTGAAGTACGTTTTAATGGAAGCTCGCTTCAAGATGTAGCCAACCTTGTCTGTGACTCCTCTGACATAGGGTAGTACAGCAGGCACACGCTCGACTGTGGCCTGCTGTACTACGTATCGGGAAGTCTGCAGTTTGTGAACATGTTCAAGATCGTCCCCGCCATTACATTAGATTTGATAGACCACAAATCCTCGCAAAAGAACACCGATTCCTCCCAAGGATGATTCGCGAGGCTATTGAAATTAAAAAACATCCTAATTTCAATAGAGAAGATGGATGGATGCTGCCATCTGCTTGGGATCCCATAATTAATAAAATCAAATCCAAACCCAAGTATACCACTGCTAGACTTCAAGATACTGTAATCTCATTCTGCGTAAATCGAACCAAAAATTAATATTAAAAAACTGAAGGTAGCTGGGCTAACTATGACAGCAGGACGTCAAACAACTCAGTCGTTTTTACTGTGAAGTTTGTAGTACTGACCCTCAATGTTGCACCACTTTTCGTACGTGGTAGCTAGTCTTGTAGTCTTTCTGGGTTGGTATAATCTTCTTACATCCTTAAAGAGCTAAACTGTGAGGCATATTGATTTACCGGGCAGTGGCGGCTTAAGAGAATCCACTGGAATATCATCCTGTAGGTGACGTTAGAGGTGACGAATAGAAACTGATATAGGAAATGGACAGCATCTTCTTGTTAAGAACTCAAAAAAAACTGCGTTTGCCGTTTACGAGTTAGTTATACCGCCATCTATCGGACATCATAAGATCTTCCTGGCAATTCACTTTGCCGACTCAAGATGGAATGCGATCGATAAATTCTTTTGGTATTGCGATGTTTCTAATGTTATCAAATAATTTGTTTTTTTTTTTTATATTTAGAGGTGCAAGGATCAATAACGAAGAATCCTAAAATACAACGCTCCTAAACCTCGTAAATTTAGAATTATCTATAATAGAAGTACCTCTCTGCCTTGATAAAATATTTTCTTTTTAAGATACTAGTGGAAAAGAAATTTTCTTAACCTTCATCATTAGAAGATGTATGATATTTTACTGATCATAACCTTGTCTAATTTAAATATGCTTTGTGTATTATTATTAATGCAGCGAGGACAGCTCAGCTGAAAGGCCAAGGCGACAGGCTCAGGACTCTCTGGAGCTGTGTCGTGTTAGAACACAGTTTATAACTCCCCGTGCCGCTCTTAACAATAAGGGCAACTGGCGGTACGTTGTCAATATGGCAGACAATATGACGCAACTTGTACGAGCTGAAATTTGCGCGTAAGTATAATATACGAAGAAATTAATATAGTATGAAAATATATTTAAAACCTTTTTTTTTTATTATAGTATTTGCAAAGGTGACATCTATTGAGTATAATTAACAACTATGTTTTCGTGACATCTAGCGTTCCATAGTAGAACTACTGTATAAATATTTGTTTTTTTGTAGTTTATAGCACTTGTTTTGTAGATATTACTGTAAGAAATATCTATCGTGATGTTATTATTCTATGTTTTAGGTCTACTGAATGCAACGGTTTATGCACATTACCTCTTGGATACACTTCCCGTTGTGAACAAAAATATATTCAAAAGCGACTTGTTGCATTGGAATCGAGTGGCCAAACACTATACACCGATTTGTTTTGGATCCCTAGCTGTTGTCAGTGCACAATTATTAACAATAATTAAATCTTTAATGTAGATTATAATGTTAATTGTGATGAATTTTTGTTTATAAAATAATTATTTTGTTTCCTCTACTTGATAATAGATGACGCTGTAAGGTAAGCACAAAAGTCATGTGGTTTAATTTACGTCTTATTGTTATTTACGAAACATTTTTATTATTGATTTCTAATTTATATCAAAAATTATACATTTTAATAAAAATATCTTTTTTTAATGTATTTAAAAACATCGATTTTTTCTTTTTATTATTTTCCTTTTATGAATGGGCGAATATTGTAAATGGCCACATATGCGGCACGTACGAATGTATATATATACTTAGTTTGTATTTTATCTGTATTAGATTGTTCACTTTAATTTAAGCATTATTTTAAAAGTATTCGTTGATCTCTCAGACATATTCTGAGCGCAATAATAAAGTTCTCAATAATAACATAAGCAACCAATGTTTATTCAGCTTTAGAGCAAATTAGTAACTACTTTTTAATTACACTCATGAAGTTAAAATAATTAATTTTAACACTATGTATAAAAACTGGTGCTTGTTTAAATTTTTGTATAATTTCCAAGTTTGTAATTTAAATCTTCCTATTATGTTCAACGGAATCTGTATTAAAGATGTGTTAGTCGATATTATATATTATATTTTATAGGACATATTGTAATTAAAATGTGCTGTGCGAACGTTAACAGTAGTATAATAGCGCAATAGTAAAAATCGGGTTTATACATAGTTTTTAATATTAAAGTAAATTATTTCATCGTGTAAAATAATAGAAATAAATAATTACAAAAAGAAATATTTTGTTTTTGTACTTAATCTCATTTTCACTTTTATTATTTATTAACAGTATTTTTTATCATATATATTATATGTTTATGATAACTTCGACATCTTCCGTTTGAAAAAACAAAATCTTTTTAGTACCGTTTAGGGTTTACTCGCTTATCCTTATCCTCTATTATTTATTATCTCATGTAAGCACGACTGTTGATCATTGGCGTCCCGGGTTCAAATCCCGGTTCAGGCATAAATCAGTTACTTGTTGTTCTTTTCCAACAAAAATTTCGCAGCAGCGGTTCAGAATCGTAATAGTAAAAATCGAGAGTGCACCATTGCTTGCGAATAACTTCGAACAAGAAAGTTTTTGAATTTCAAATTTAAAAACTTCGAACTTTTCAAATACTTATTAATATTTGCATATAAATTTTAAATTATCTATTATTTCAACAATGCCTAATGAAATATATTAGTATTTTCCTGTTTACTTTGCTTATCTTTACTCTATAAAGGCAGTTGTTTGGCATTTGGCAGTGTTGTGTGGCATTATAAATTCTCTTTTTTTTTTAAACGTTACCCCCAAACTTTTTTACTATTGTATCGTGATTTTCTACTGTATCGTGGAGGCAGTTTACAAACACAAATTGCACAAGGACAAACATCCAGACCCGGAAAAATTATTTGTAGGCCATACAAATACTTGTTCCATGCGGGATTCGAACCCGCGGCCCCCAGCGCAGCAACTCATTGCTAAGCCACTGCGCCACGGAGCCGTCACATAAATTTATCTCAAGACACATTATTCTAACTCTATACCAAAGCTGTACACACAAAATATTTTTTTTATAAGTAGACTGTATATTTCCTTCCACTTTTACACTAAAACTTTTCTCCCTTTGTTATAATTTTTAATATTTACTTAAAATAGAAGCTTAATGCTGCTGTGTTTCGAATGGTGAGTGTAGAAAACCTGATGCTGTCCTGCGCATATGGCTTTTTTTTTTCTCTTTATTTATTTAGGGATTTTTATTTGTTAATATGTCAATCCCATTATAACTAATTTAAAATCTATACATTTATTATTAATCTGCACATACTCAATGCAATATCCGAGGTGGGGGCATGTAGAATGCCTTGCGCAATACCCATATTGTACATATTTATCTTATAGGTCCTTATAAATAATTCCCTTGCCCCTCTTCGCTCACATTCCATTAAAAAATGATGTAAGTCTTCTATTACTCCACACGTTTCACAATTAGGTGAATCAGTTTTTTTCATCAGATAAGAAATTTTTTTTGATGGGATGTGACCTGTTCTTATTCTAAACATTATTTTAATAATATTTCTATTTATTTTTGTATCTATAAACCAGGGTATTATCGCATATGGCTAGTCTCCGTTAAGACTGGCCTCCGTGACTAATATTCGATCTGAAAGACATTATCCTTACCTCTAGATATCCAACGCATGGCATAATAATATGCCACTTCAACTACAGTCACAATGTTATAATAATCACCAAACGAAAAATTCTGGCATTTGCAACTATTCACCGTTACCGTCACAGCCTATTAAAGTCCACTGCTGAACATAGGGCTACCCACTCCCCTATAAAAGTAGAAAAGTAAAGTTGCAGCCTATTTACCTCCCACTGCTGGGCACAGGCCTCCTCTCATTTCTGAGAGTGTTTTAGGGCAAGGAATTGTCCACCGCACTGCCCTAATGCGTGTTGGCGAACTTCACATGTCTTCGAAATATTTTTTTTCTTATTTCTCAGATATGCAAGTTTCCTCATGATGTTTTCCTTCACCGCCGAGCACGTGGTAAATCAGCACTTAAAATTGCAATTAATAATTTCATTGAAGTCGGCGGGTATCAATCCCGGGTTCCTCGAGTACTGTGAAGCTTACAGCGAGCGCTAACCATCTGACCTACCACGGCTCCCTTATAGATTGCCTCAAATGGGGGGCGGGGGCATTTGCCATAGTTGCCACGCTTGGCAAGCGGGTTGACACCGTAGGTTTTTTAAAATATTTAGTCGTTATTAGGAAGACGCTGCTGCCCATTTCCTGATTTGACCATGGGATGATATGGGATAATGGATATTCTTACGTATGCGTCATTCTTACGTCATGCTACACGGTAACAAAGCTTACTGTTAAAGTTAGTAAATAGTTAAATCAGTAATTTAAAAACCCAATACTGAAAAAAAAAATTCTATCTTAAGTCACTTCCACAGAAAAGACGAATCTTACGATACCAATATCACCTTAAAATTGACATGCATATGAAAGTATTTACGGTACTGATAACAAAAAAATATTTTTTAAATTTTTGTCTGTCTGTCTGTTTCTTCCGGCTAATTTGTGATACGGCTGGACCGAATTTGACGGGATTTTCACTTACAGTAGCTAATGCTATACGGAGTTTTGTTATGTAAAAGAATTAGGGTTGCGCGCCAAAAAAACCCATGAAATCCTATCGTAACAAATTCCACACAGGCGAAATCACGGGGAACAGCTAGTGTTTCAATAAATGTAAGTAAAAGCATCATTATACTCTTATTAAGTTTTACGAATTTCTTATAACCCCCGCTATTTATCGTGCTCGCTTCTAGGACGTACTTACTTCAGAAGGCACCATTGTCACGTGTTTACACGCTATGTTAATATCATCTCACAACATATTGACATATTTACAAGCAGTCAGACGAAGTTCATAATTGTAGAATACAAATGCGTTGAAAATTCTAATTTCTTTATTTAGTATTTTATTTTTTATTAGGTGGTACCCGGCACATTGCTACAACACAAATATAGTTTTAAATTTGGAAGAATTATATTGTTAAATTAGAAACGATAATAATACATTATTCATATATCACACACAATTATTAAAATCCATTATTAAAATCCATTTATTAAAATGCACGATTTCATGATCTATCGATTTTTAACAAATTATTGGCGTTTAGGTCATCTAGTGTCTATTTTATGTAATAATATAGTATAATATTTTGTGTAATGCCTTGAGAGTCAAATGTCAACCAATTTGTTCGATAAAATACTTTCAAATAAATTTGTCGGTACGATACGCGCGCCACCTACTGTAAGTTATTTGTACTATGCCTATAACCTTCGCGGCTGTTTTGACGACCAAAATCAACTCTCTTGTTTCCAGTAAAAAGTGTGTCCGGTTCTTGCCACTTACCATACGTAACACAACAACAGCATTATCCTCGTATTTATGGCCGGTATTCTAAGCGTACTTCGTTTTTCCCCGGTCAAGCTTCTGTTCAGTCTGCCCTCGTGATTCTTTTATAATAAACAGAAGTGATACGCGATCTCACAATTCACTTCATGTTAAGTGGTTCTTAACCGCGACTACACGGCTTAAGCCATGTTGTGGTGGTTAACCCCCCGGTCCCGGAATCGGGCAGGCACTCCCGCCAGTCCCTGGAGCCTTGCATGGGATATTTCTTCAATTTTGTAGACTATAAGTCTGTGGTCGTTTGAGCTGATGCAATCCAGAACTCACCACTCTGAAATCAGAACCCCTCTTGACGGGTTTTGAACGTTACGTCTAGGTTGGATTCTCCCAGTGCTCCCGAAAAGGTGCTCGGTTGGCCCTGAAGTCGGCCACCACAAGCCCCCGCGACAATATGAAGTCCACCATGGCATTCCGTCGATGTTCTGATTTTTGGCCCTGTCCTATTGTCTATTTTGCGTCACTGAACCAGAGTGGCGAGTGTGCATTGCAATCCACAGCGTTTGCCTTTCAAGAGGCGACAGTGGGAAACAGACAGGAGCTGGGCAGTAGCATCTTCCTAATAATAGCAAGATTACAATAAAAAACTGCGGTTGCCAACTCGCTCGCCAAGCGTGACAACTATGACAAATAACCCCCCATTAAAAAAAAAAGTTACGAAGAGATGGCACCCAGTCCCCGGTGGCCCCGCTATTCCTGGCTACGGTGGCTACGGTGGTGGTAACGGTGGGGCAGGGGATGCTAAGAATCTCCGGATGAGGTGAGAAGATCCTTGAGCTGGAAGAAGAGATAGACAAGTTACGCCGACATATTATAGGATTATCCGAGGAACGAAGAGAGGGGGAGAAAACGGTAATCCTGGAATACGGCAACTTGTTCTATCACCGAGAGGGCAACCATCTGTCCCAAGAAGGTGTCGGATTTATCGTGCACAAGTCTCTCGTTACCAACGTTGTGAAGATTATAAGTGTGTCCGCGAGGGTTGCGTACCTTATACTCAGAATATCCAAACGGTATTTGTTGAAGGTCAAACAGTTTTTCGCACCAACATCGCCATATCCCGATGAGGAGGTGGAGGAATCGTATGAAGATATCTCTAAAGCCATGCATACCTCCAAAACCCACTACATCGTGTTAATGAAAGACTTCGACGCAAAACTAGGCACAAGAGAGAACGTTGAGCTGAAAGTAGGGAAATTCTGAATAGAGCAACAGAAACCAAGGGGCCAATAGCTGACCGTCTTTATGGTGAAAGAGGGACTCTTTATGATGAACTCTTTCTTCCAGAAGCGACCACACAGGAAGTGTACCTGGTCGAGCCCCGACGGTCCGACAAAAATGAGATTGATTTCATTATGACGACCAGACGACAACTGTTCAGTGATCGCGAGGGTGAAAACTGGTAGCGATAACCGAATGGTTAGAGGCACACTGAACCTAAACATTAAGTTGGAGAGGTCTCGTCTAATGAAGTCAATGCTCCATCCCCATCGTGCTCTAATTCAAAGTCCCGAAACCTTTAAGTTCGAGTTAAAAAATCGTTTTCAGTGGCTAGAAGACTGCAATGCAGTGGACCATATGAATGACAAGCTCGTGGAAACTGTCCATGTGTGTCAACTGTGGAAACGTTTGGAGCTAAGTTCTGCAAGACCTGCCGCAGAAGAACACAAAAACTCTCCGATCACACTCTTAATCTCAAGGCTGTTTAACGGGAAA